TGGGGCTGCGGTCAGCTTCGAAATTAAAGTGCTTGCAAAGGATGGATACAACAGTTCTCCTTTATCCAAACCCCCTGTTACGAAAGTATTGCTTCATTTGAGCAAAGACGGAATGGGTTTGTGGAACTTAGAAGACGGCCTGAGGTGAAAGACCTGAGCAACAGATTCGGAAGGATTTGCATCACAAACAGCCAAAGTCTCCATGCATTTATCTCGTGCGAGCACCATTTTTGAAGTTAATTCAAAGATTTTGCCGTTTCTGAATGAACCGATAACGACTTTATGAATGGGTCCTAAAACTGCTTACGTTAAGTTTTAAGACTTTTTATGAAAGTGTGGGACAGTAGAGGGGAGGGTATTTTATTGAAACACCTTCAGTGAGAAGAAATCGAGATCTTCTGTTTGGCCGTGTAGTAAATCGTCGAAAAGGCTTGAATCATAAATGCTGTGGCGAACTAGTGCTTGCAAGACTTTGCCAACATAGGCAAAGCCAAGCAAGTGACGTTAAAAAGCTGGCTTTACGGAAGCGAAAACTGGAGGACAACAGTGACTCGGTGCGTGACCATTTGCAAAGACGCCACGATCCAAATTCATAAATAAAGGACGAACTCCATTATTAAAAATGGAATCCGTCATATCACGTTTTCAGGCCAATGAGTAAACTGATTGACGTCAGTAAGAAGAGTGAAAGTATAACGGTGAAGGGAGTGTTCATCAATCCTTTTTAAGGAACTCTCTCATCCTGTTATGCCTTACGGGCTCTCTCTTGAACCCATCCAGCAGCCACGCAGCGGCGCATGATAAGTAAGTGAAAAGTATCCACAAATGTATGAATTTTGGGTGAAGTATTTGTATGCCAGTTAATTTCTAGTTAATTTTAATCGCCTGCGGACACTTTGACATCAAACTGAAAATCTTCAAAGTGTTTGCAGAGTTCGCTTTCATTGGTGAAGTTGTAAAGAGGATTACATACACGGCCAATTAACGTTTTTCTGCTTTGCTGGAGGATGACTGGAACGAAGCATATATTTACAGAAAAGGAGGAAATTTTCAGATCATAGGACGAATGTACAAATGAGAGGCTGATCTGAAGAAGGCAAACACGGCCACATATTTACAACGATTTTGTTCGTATGAATTGAGATTATCTGCAGCGAGCGCCGGGTCGGAACTAAGACAGTGGGCACAAGATTTTATAACGTACAAAATATCTGAGTCAGATTAAAGGGCTAAAGTTCCTATCTGGACCATATTATGCACGACTGATCGCACGTTAATAGAGACTACAGCGCTCGTATTCGTGAGATACAGGTTACGCACATTACTGCTATCAAAAGGAAACATTTGTGGTGTAAAATTAGACTGCCGGGGAGGAGAAAGAGGTGAGAACCAAAACTTCGCCGGTTTAAAACTGTTTGAGGTCACCACTGACAAGAGAGGCACTAATGTACAGAAAAATATTCGGGTAGGATCTATGTGGAGGAATGCT